CTTCCTTTTTTATATTTTAAAAATATAATTTTTATTTATCATAATAGCTTATGACTACTAAAATAATATCAAAATCATGAATCTTTAGAAAAAATATATTAATAAGAAGTTATTGTTGTTCAATATAAAACAAGGTGGACAGATAAAGTTTTCTATAAAAGAATCATTAACCAATAATTATATAAAGCATATAATCTAGTTATTTAGGTTAAGTATTAAAGTAATAAGTAAAAATATTATGAAACAAAAGATAGATTGGAATTATGATCAAATAAATTTTTTACATTTTTATTAGAAACATAAATAATACCTTCAACCATGACATACGATGAATCGATCAATCTTTTTGATATCTGTTATGGATAAAATGATATGATTATTACGTAAGCACCACATGGCCAATAACTCAATAGCACGTGGCCAACAACTCAACTCCAGGTGGGATGATACTGGAAATAGTATTTGTTATATTAATTGCTCCATATGATAAATTAACCAATCCCTTATGTATAAGATTTATAATTTTAATATTTATAAATATAGTTCAAGTATTATTAACATCTTGACCCAGATAAGATGAATGATTTTCACATCGACACTACATGACTAATAATTCGATCGCATATGATTGACATGCTAAAGCCATGTGGTTAACTTACTGAAATTACGTGGCCAATCGTTTAGTATCACATAGTCGACTCACCTGAATCATGTGATCGATAACTCAATACCATATTGTCCACACATCAAGGCCTAGTGGTTGACACCTCGATGCTCATAATCAACACATTGACACATGACAGATTCATCCTGTGTCACTAAATAATCTCTCCTCGCCTAACCAACCTTTATCACGTGTTCAAGCATCACATCATCCCAAACTTAGCATGGCTAGATAATAATTATGCTTAGATCAACCAATCACATTCCCACAAAGTGAGCATGCAATTCGAAATCGATCCCCCGAGTATGTATCGGGATAACTCTTAAATTCAGAATCTATCCGATTTATTCGATTAGCTTATTAACTTAAGCATCAAAGGAATATTATTGGGAGTACCTCCAACATAGTTTTATAAAAAAAAAAATTGAGTTAGTGAAATTTGAGTTAACATCGGCTTGAAGAAAGAACATAGTTGGATTAGAATTTGTTTCCACCATACATAATTAAAATTTGACTTAACACTAGCAAAACATTAGGGCAAATAAACTCAAAATCCAGTGAGAACTAACACATCTAAAAAATAAATTTTTTAAATAGATATATTTATTAGTTTAGGAATAAAAATAACTAAATAGGTCTTTTATATTAGATTTAGTGTCTTTTAATAAGTCTTAGTGTTGTTGATACCTCCAACAAAACACTATAAAGATATTAAAAAACTTATGACTGAATAATTTGATGGATTCACCATAAGGATCAATCTATATAGTGTAAATGGACTTACTGAAGCTGTCCAAGTGTCCATTTTTTGGAATTTATATATATTATTATTATTTGATGTAACATTTAGAAGTGGGTTATATCAATACATACCAATATTGATTTTTAGTCAATCAATTTGTTCTTGATGAAATCAATTTCTATGTATTCAATTCTTTAAAGCATGCCAATGATTGAGATCAAAAGTCATAGTGAGATGGACACTTGGATTGGGACCCTTACTAGTTTTCCCTGTGCAGGTTGGCCTTATAGAGTTTGCACTGAGAGAAACAAAGTGTCCTTTCCTACATTCCATCTTATTCTATCATCCCAATTCTATCCTTGTGCTACAACTTTCCTTCACTTTCTCTTCCTTTCTCGATAATTAGAAGCATAACCATTATCTTGACATCGCAAACTAGTTATCGTCACTGAAACATTCTAAAAAATGCATTTGGCTCCATGAAATTTTAGATAATGGATGAACAATGGCATCAATTCGTCTCTCTCTCTCTCTCTCTCTCTCTCTCTCTCACTCTTCACATTGCTGCAGAACTCTCAAGGCTGAGCTAAGTGCAAGCTGTGAGTCTGAGACTGCAAGAGTTGACTGAACATATTGGCACCGAAATCTTACTTCTTAAGGTGCTCATAAAAGCCAACTTAGTCTACGAAAGATTCAACCTAGAATTCCTTGTGCCACCTCAAGTCTCACCCGCAAGGTTTCTCATGTGACTTGACCTGCAGAAAAGTCAGAAATGGATGGCTTCTACGTACACTCAGCTATTTCAACCCAAGCTTAGATTTTGAACATACACGGAAGAAATGTAGTGCATAATCTCTGTAGTAGTCATGCCCATAGGATGTGAGTTTTCTTTGACTAGTTTGTAGGCACGAAACCATAATAGGATAGATTCCATCATATTATAGGACCCAGCAACATGAAGAACAGCCATTGTTGACGTATTTATATATTTTTGTGTGGAGTCACAAGTAATCTTTGTAGATAGCAATCTATTCAACACACAGCATCCTTAGCGTTGACATCTCTCTTACTTTTACTAGTTGCTTCATTGTCCAGTCTTTTAGAGAGAGAGAGAGAGAGAGAAGCATTAAAAGTACGGTAAACTTAATCTTAGGATAGTCTTGCAAGCCGCTTAGCGTTGACAGTAATCTTTGTAGATAGCAATCTATTCAACACACCGCATCCTTAGCGTTGACATCTCTCTTACTTTTACTAGTTGCTTCATTGTCCAGTCTCAGAAAAGGCCACTAGATATTGTCATTGTCATCCTCTTTGCAACTCGAAGGAAAGAAGCGGCTTGCAAGACTATCCTAAGATTAAGTTGACCGTACTTTTAATGCTTCTCTCTCTCTCTCTCTCTAAAAGACACGTTCACCCATGCATCATCACATGCTGGTAAAATGTAGGGCGTAAGAACTGGCACACAGTAGACTGTAGACTTCTAACTTAGTGAGTTGAACATCTTGAGTTGGAGAAGAAAACCCAGTGAAACAAGTGGTATGGCCTAAACTCGAGAATTATTTTGGGTATTTAACTGTGTATAATCTGTTTATTTACTCGTCGTTTTGAAGACTACGCTGCTTGTCACCCTAAAAACAAGTGGTATGGGCTTCAACTATAAGACAACAGCTTTCGCAGCTTCTGGTCTCGCACAAGAAGCCATGAAGAAGCCTTCTCTGTATACGTCTTACGCCATAGCATTTGTCCTCCTCGCGGCAACCATGACAGCTCTCGTCTTCTTCGTTATCTACCCCAATGAGTTCCGGCTGCAGTCCATGGTCACTTCCCGGTGCGGGTCACGGCCTTCCTCCTCATCCCTCTCCAGCTTCGTTGAGCCGGTGACGCCGGAGCCCGACTTCCGCCTCCTCATCGGCATCCTCTCCCTCCCGGACAGCTACGAGCGCCGCCACCTCGTCCGCGACGTCTACGCCCTCCAGCCCGGCGTCGCCAACGCCCGCATCGACGTCCGCTTTGTCTTCTGCAACCTCACCAAGGAGGAGCAGCGGGTGCTGGTGGCCATGGAGATCATGCTCTACGACGACATCATCATCCTCGACTGCGCCGAAAACATGGATAACGGTAAGACCTACACCTACTTCTCCAGCCTCCCCAAGATGTTGGACGGCGGCGGCCGGCCGTACGACTACGTGATGAAGGCGGACGACGACACCTACTTCCGGCTGCAACTGCTGGCGGAGTCGCTGCGGAAGCTACCGCGGGAGGACATGTACTACGGGCTGATCACTCCCTGTCTTAACTGGCGGGCCAGAGACCACTACATGTCGGGAATGGGCTACGTACTGTCGTGGGACCTGGTGGAGTGGATTGCGACGGCGGAGACGCCGAGGAATCATCAGGTCGGGCCGGAGGACAAGGTGATGGGGACGTGGCTGAGGGAGGCACGCCGTGGGAAGAACGAGATCAACATGGAGCCGGTGATGTACGACTACCTGGAGGGGGAGCCGCGCACGTGCTACCGGCACGAGCTGGTGCCGGACACCGTCGGCGTGCACATGCTCAAGAACAACTGGAGGTGGGCGACGGCCCTCAAGTACTTCAACGCCACTGTGGGCCTCAAGCCTTCCAACCTCTATCACATGTCTTGAAGCTTCTCATTTGACGCTTCCTTCCTCTGATCTCTCTCTCACGAATGCATGCGAGTAGCACAGTGACGCAGATCCATAGGAGAGGTTGGCAACAACTGCAAGAGAATGTAATGCAAGAACTTCTTTGTTTAAGATTGGTGTTAATGCAGATTATTTCCAAATGCACACATGATGGCACACGAGCACCGAGGCACCTCTCTGCCAACCACCCCCGGCCAAGTCAAGTCAATACTCTACAGGGTATATATTCTATTGCCACCATCTTGCTTGGACGTGAAGTACTCGTACTCAAGTCAATAGAATGTCCAGTGTACGTCGCCATTGCTACCACGTTAACTGAGCTACAATTACTTAGGTTTGAGTCCAGCTGATCACGTTTCCAGATCTGGCTTAGTATTTCGTGCCAAATCTCTTTCTCCCTCTCACTGAAACTTCGGTTTGGCTCACCACGTTTTCTTAGCTGCTGATGCATGATGAAGTTTCACCAGCGTCTGATGTGGCTATGCACTAAACCTAAAAGCTTTTTCTTCTCTTGTTGCCTCACAAGCATCGCATGGTTCATGCAATACTACAGCTATAAGGCTCCCATGCACCGCCTCCTCCTCCTCCTCCTCCTACTTAAAAGACCTGTACCGAGGGGTACAGACCATTATACTAAACGTACTGGATGATACAAGCCTCGTATCGAATGGTACAGATCTTGTACGATGAATACCATCCGTATCGAGTTGTCCCGGGTGATATTACAGAACTTGATCCGATCTACTCTTGTCAACGCAGCTGCTTTATTGGTTCTTTGACCAAGACCGGTCCCACATGGTGTGTTCTAGCCCAAGCCCATATCTTTGATGGGCTTAGCAAAGTAGCTCGGCCACGAACAGGTCTCAGATGACGTCACCAACAGAATCGCCGTTATAAAAGGAGGCCAAACCCGGTAAGACTTAAGAGGGGCCACCGAACCCGAACCGAACCCTCCCTGTGGCTCCTCCTTCGTCCGCCCCTGATGGCGTTCGAGATCCCATCGGCTCTCATCCGCGAAATCCAGGCCGGCCTCCGGCGAGAGGCCGGCGTCCCGTTCTACGACCCCGACGATCCGTCCCTTCCCTCGCTACCCTCCGTCGAGGACGCCGTCGCCGCGCTTGACCCGGACCTCCGTCCATCCCTTCGCTGCGACCGGTGCCGCGGCGGCCTCCTTCGGGGCCTTCGGTCCACGATATGCATCTATTGCGGTGCGGATCGGGGGAAGGAAGGGAACTCCCACTCGATTTCCTTCAATTCCACCGTCGCCTGCCGGAAGCTTCTTGACTATCTTGGGCTGGATGGATCCGTGAGTGGGATCCTTTTGATATTCGAATTATTTCGTTCTTCTTTTGCTGCTACACTGGATTCTAGGAATTCTCAATGTGTATACTTAACAAGTTTTTGCTTATGCCATGAAATGTTAGTTTGCATTTCCGATTCAGCTCAAAGAGGGGACTTTTATGAATCCCTAGGTAAAGAAAGAAAAAGAAAGAAGGGGCCTTAGGTCAACATATCGAATAAGATAATTAAGCTAATAGCATCAACATATTTCTTTGTTTCCAAGCAACTAATCATTTCGGAAAGCTAAGAGTAGTATAGTATATTGCCATATTCCTTTTAACTACAATAAGATATTTCTTAAATATATTATTCCTTGTTTCAGAAAGAAAAATGGTTAGTATTTGATAATGAGTTTCGTTTTTAAAATTTATGTTACTTCTCATTAACTGGCACCACAGGGACCATTTTCTCTGTGATGCAGAGAACTTATATTGTACTCATGTGATCGTGCACTGCATAGAACCACACACAGAGACACACTATAAATTTAACGAGTAAGGGTTATCAAGTCTGAAGCTTATGCTGTTTAGGATTAATGATAGTGATACGAGAAAAGATAGATAAAAATCCAAAAAAAAATTAATAGAAACTATAAATAAAGATTTAGGTATTCTGAATCTGTCTTTTTACACATTTTAATGATGGTAGAAAAATCAATGTAGCTGATCCCAAGTAGTTGGGACTTACGGTTTTATTATTGTTGTAAGCTTATGTTTCTTAGGCTAATCAGCCTAGACGAATTTGATCCAACACTTATTAGTTGTATGTTGAAGTAATGGAGATTGACTTAAGAGGACCCAAACTAGACATTTGGCCAGTCTATTGACACTTTTATGAGGACAACTGTCCTTTATTACTATATATCTTTCTAAAAATTGAAGAGGCTTAACAAATGATTTTTAGGTTTTCCACATGTGTGCACTTACACATGCACCCACGGACATATATGCATACATACGTAGTGCAAGGAAATTATGAGCCTGGTTAGTAGTCCGAGATTTTCCTATGAGAAGCCTAAATCCTGCAAATTCTGGCATGTGTCTTGTGTAATTTGGGTGAAGAGCTATGATAGTTACATCTGTGTGTCCTGGGTGTTCTATCCTGATTTCTGTCAATTGATAGTGATAAAGATGAAAAAGCTTTTACATTGCCAGGTAATGGCAAATATATGTATCTTAGTAACTTTGACCCTTCTAAGTAGTTCTTTGGCAATCTTATTGGAAATCATCTTTTGCAGGAAGCTGTTTTACTTGACATAGAACCAAGTGGTTCCACCTCAAATAAGGGCCAGGCCACACCAAAGGGTGAGTTGGTTTTGTCTGATCTTTTAGACTTGGTATTAAGATGGCCTTCAGATAAGGAGGATGTTGAACATAACTCTACGGTCACTATGCCTTCTCCTGATACATATGCTTTGAGCTTGACTGGACTTGACCTTGATAACTTTTTTTCTGAAAAAAGGAGGGAGGCAACTTCTTTTGTTGCTCCACAATCTGACGGAAAAAAGATGCTGAGGGGGAATACAGATACAAAAAGTCATGCATTTTCTGGTTCAGAAAACTTTGCTGCATTTGAGAATCTGCAGACTACTGACAACAAAACAAACTCCCTTGGCAATGATTTTGGTGATTCATTTGCTGTCTGGGATACTGATTTTCAATCTGCTGGTACAAAATCTAAAGAAGTTAGTCCCAAATCATTTGACCATTTTCAAGATTTTTCAGGTCACGATCTTGCTCATGCTTCAAAGACTGGAGCCACTATAGACCAGCTCGAAAGCATAGAGATGTTTGATAAATCTGAGCCACCATCTGTTAATGAACAGTTCCAAGATGATCTTTGGCCCATAGAAAATGTGAATATGTATGCTTCAGATCCACTTAAACATGAAATTCACAATGTCACGGAGAATAGTGTCTCAAACAACGTGTCTAGCATAGGCATAGATGACTTTTCTGTTCAGGAGAATCTATGGCCTACAAGCAGCACCAAGGAATCTGAGACTTCTATTCCCACTAATAGTAATGAGGACTCTTTTGATGCTTGGCAAGGTTTTACCAACTCCATTGAAGCAAGGGGAAGTTCATCAAGTCCAGCAACTGCAGCTGGAACTGGGCTAACCTGGCCTAGTCATTCTTCTGAAACAAAGGCAGCAAATATCTTCCCTGCAAGTAGTGAAAAAGAATTGTACAACAATAAATCCATAGATAGTAACGATAACTGTAATGATGATTGGCAAGATTTTGCTGGCTTTGAAGGAAAGGGAAGCTCAACAAGTCTTGGGACACAATCTGGTAAGGCAATCTTTGAGCACCCTGGGGAAGTAAAATCAGTTGATCCATTGGATACAAGCTCAAAAATGGAATCTGACAGTTTCACAACTATGAATATCATACATGATTCTTCTGATGCTTGGCCAGATTTTACTGGTTCTAGTGAAGCACTGGGAAATTCTTTTAATCAAAGCAGTCAAAATGGGGTTAACTCACATAACAATTCTTCAGAAACCGTAGCAGTGGATCCCTGGTCTACAGGGAACTCAAAGGATTTGGACAAAAATATGCCTTTAAATAATTATGATGACTCTTTTAATGATTGGCAAGATTTTACTGGCTTTGCTGAAGCACCAAAAAGATCACCGAATTTGGGGGCTCCATCTGGTCCCACATTGTTGGAGCAACCTTCAGAAACAAAGTCAGTGGACTTATTGTCTACAAAAGGAAAAACAGAATCGACAAATGAGCATGATGATTCATTTGATGATTGGAAAGATTTTTCCAGCTCCATAGAAGTGAAAGGAAGTTCATCAAGTTCTGGAGAACAATATAAGGCCTCTTTATTTGGGTATTCTTCAACAACAGATTCAACACAACAGCAGAATATGAAATTTGGTAGTGACCTACAGACAGATATCTTTTTAAATCAACTGGAAGGCCAGAAAAGTTATCCTGATGGAGAGGACATTCAAATAGATGTGTTGACTTCTGACAGGTATGCATTTACTGATTGTAAACTTCTTTTGGTTATAGTAGCTAGATTTACAAAATAACAGTGGAGATGATGAATACCCTTATTTAGCCGTTTCAATGGTATCTGCAGTACGTGTCATTTAAATAATACTTTACTAATGGCATTGCTATAAAATTTTTTATGCCTTCTAGGAGAATCAAAATTGACCAGAGGACATCATATCACTGTTCACTATTATTTATGTTTATAAGCTTATTGTTGTTACTATTGGTTATATATTTCATTTTAGACCATTTGGTTTACATAGGTTTGGTATTTGACACCAACTCTGATACTATCTCACTTCTGGAGGCTATCAAAGTAAAGTCACAATGAATACGTAGAAGGAAAATATATACAAGGGAAGCTAAAAATATGGAGAATATATGGGATGAGAAAGAAGAAAAGAAGGGTAGACTGCACTCAAACATATATATTGAGAGATCACCTTTACATCCTATCTTCAGCAGCTGAATATTCACTGGCCCACCCCTCTGTTTCTGAGGACATCAAATGCTCCTCTGATTAGTTTTTTTTTATAATGTCAATACTTGACCGTGGAGTACATTTTGTTAGCCAACTTTTATGCAAAGTCTTCACGATCTTAGCTGCCTTCACTGAACATAGCAGTATTTACTAGAGCTCATTATGATTTTGCTACTGTAAAAACAATGAAACATCAGATCTAGGGTATTTCATGTTTTTCTACTCAAAGAAACGTATTCTTCCTGTGGAACTATTTCCTTAGGATCTGAAAATTTGATGTTAGCTCATTGCTTATTGAGGAATTGTATATTGTTTTTTTTTTTTTGTGGACATACTTGTTAGTCATTGGTATAGTATGCATTTTGTTAATTCTATCCCTCTTCTAGCAGGGTGAATGGAATGGATCAGAAAACTGCTGCAGATCCTCATTCTATGATGTGGGAGACGAAAGGAACTATCGAGAGTTCTAATGCTAATTCAATTTTAGAACCTGCAAAATCCGATGTAGAGAAGTCATCGAGTCACATTCCTGATCTCTCCTTCATGCTTGTAGATGAACTTTCCATCCCAGAGAAGTCTGTTACAACCGAACCAAGTCTCTGACAACAAGCTGAGTTATTCTTTTATTTGGCACATTAAGATTAATCGGGGTACACTATCCTTCTTTTCTAGCTAAGGTGTCACATTTCCTTTTCTTTTACTCTTACATTAGGTAAAATTTTATCAGATTTCCAGTTCCAAATTTAAATTAAAAACTGAGTTTCATGTTGCAGTGAACAATATTAGGGAGGTACTTTTCATGGTAATGACCAGTGGATTACTGGTATATGGTAATCACAGCCCAGTTCGGTGTCGGAGCCGGAGCTGACAGGTATTGATTGCCTCCTGTGAGTGGTAAGCTTCTAAGTCTTCATATGACTGCATGGGTGCTAGTGTGAGGAAGATGCCATTTTATATTGCAGGAGAGATGGTTTTCTTCAATGTATCATCGACCAATGCCGGTGTCTGTCTTGTTGCAGTTGCAGCAACATCCTCTACAGCCGGTGCTTTATTTCTAAATTCATTTGTGTGTGTGTTTTTCCTGTACTTATCTGTTTCTTTGAGCTCACTCTTGAGAATTCAACGATTATATAGTTGATCATGAGTGTTATAATGTTATTTTGTTAATGCGGAACTCCTCTGCTGATGAACTTTTCTTGTTTTCATTTTCTTTTTGATCCAGTGCTGATGTTTTCTTATTCAGTGTTGTAGGAACCTACTTGGCTCTTGATGAACAGTGATAGGCTAGATTCGATGCAGCCTCAACTTGATTGCCTTTATGCTACTGTAAATGTGCTTAGTTTTTGTGTCTGAGGAGAATTTAGTGTCAGATTACATGAATTCGTCGTGCAGTATACGTAACGATCGCCTATTCCTCGATGCAGACCGCGATGCGGAGAAGACCGCGCACGCAGAGTACATGAGAGAACCCGATGCGTTGATGCTGATATGACGATGACATGGTACCGAGGTCCCACATGGTGTGGCTCGTTTCACCGATCGAGCCACTCCCCAAACCCTAAAGTCAATAATATTGGAAGGGGGGGTTTATTGCACTGCGAACAATTAAGAAAAGTATTAATAAAAAGAAGGATCGTTAACGGTTCCCAACGTTGGCCACCGTAAGATGGGATGAAGACGAGAGCGAAACGCGCAAAATAAAAAACACAGAACAAAACATTCATTCCGACTCTCTCTCTCTCTTGACCCGAGCTTCTGCTCCGTTGTCTTTACCCCTTGGAATTATTGCCGGAACATTCATCCCACCGCGCCCTTCTCGGCGACGGATGCTCGCCGCCGATTCGATGCTCCAGACCTCGAAGCTCGGCTTGGGGATCCCCCGCAGGCGCCGGATCCGCGGCACCACGGGACCGGATTCCGTGAAATTAGGGTTCCGGACGCGATCCGCCGCTCAGGAACAGAGAACCGAGAGTGGGGAGATGTTTTCAGTCCGGTGGATGTCTTGCTTCAGGGTTTGCGTGGGCAAAGGGAAGAAGGCGGAGGTGGAGTCCATCCGCGGAGGTGAGGACCTCTGGGACGCTGCCTCGGCGGCGCAGCAGGGAAGCTTCCCGGAGCATCTCGTTGTAATGGTTAATGGCTTGGTTGGGAGGTTGCTCTCGTCTTGTTCTTTGTCTGTCGTTGCGTCCTTAAGTGTTGCGCTCTTAAATTAAGCCAATTTCGCAGTGCTGATGATTGGAGGTTTGCCGCCGAGCAGTTCGTCAAAAAGCTTCCAGATAAAGTAATCGTCCACCGTGAGTTTGGCTTTGCCTTCTTCTTGTTTTTGCTGGAGCAAAGTGCTTAGTGTTATTCATTGTTTGTTTTGAGTACTCAAACTTTTTGATGAAATACTTTATTTGTTAATCTTGCATCCATCTAAAATAGTCATAGTCCCCTTTTAGTTCTGTTAAACAGCTTTTCTTGTATGCCGATCAGAGGTTTGAATAAAGGAAAAGTCAATTCCAAGAAAGGTAAAACAGGGAGCATCTTCATTTGACACGTTAAAATCTTTTTAGATGTGCATCAGGTTATTACTCGATCAAGGCTTTCACTCTTCATCATGTATAAATTTTTAGATGTGCATCAAGATATATGTAGAATCAATTCTCTTGCCACAATATACAGTAAGTAGTACTTTGTCGCTGTGATTGTTGAGTTATGACATTTTTTTCTTCCTTTTCATATATCTGCATACATGTACTTTTGCATGATGTTCTCATTAGCTGTACAGTAAGTAGTATTTTGTCACAATTATCGTTGAGTCATTACTTTTTATTTCTTTCTTTCCATGTATATGCATGGAACTTCAAAAGGAATTCATAGAAACTGAATGATAGGTCTCTTAGTGTTGATTTTTTGGGTTGCTGCTAGATGGTTGTAGTATGTTTCTTATGTTATAAAATGGAATTGAAAACTATTTGTCTCTGTTTGGATTAATTAAAATAAAGCAATTAATATGTCTTATCAGAAAACTTGTGCATTAACATATAGGTAGCTCTGCCATTAAATTTGGCGCTGTTTATTTCTGGGCCAAAAAATTAGTTTTTTTTTTTTTTTTTTCAAGCAGGCAGTGAGTGCAACTCTTCAAGGCTCACATTTGATGGGGTTGATTTGATGGGTGAAAGGCTAGCTGAAGAGGTAATTCTGTTAAGGCATCACTCAATTTTCATATTTGCGGTGTTAAGAGCCTTATTTGGTATGTAATATTTATCATTACCTGGTGTGATTTATACTTACCAGTGTGATTGATCAATTAGAAAAATTATGAACTATTTTTGGGGTGAACTCCATGCATGTAACTTATGAATGAAGCAATGAACCCGATACTTTTATTGTAGGTTATATCAGTTGTTAAGCAAAGAAGGGGTGTACATAAAATTTCATTCGTGGCTCACTCTTTGGGTGGCTTAATAGCCAGATATGCTATTGGAAGGCTCTATGAACCTATCACAACAATGGAATCATCTGTTGGCACTGAAGATCATGAAGACAGAGGCACAGGCATCAAAGGTAGAATAGCTGGGTTAGAACCAATGAACTTTATAACATTTGCCTCGCCTCACTTAGGTTCAAGAGGCCATAGACAGGTAAAAGTATTTTCCTTTTGTCAATTAATGACATATCAGCTATATTGTGTATTTCCTATATATGTCTGAGATAACATTCTGATATTGAGAAATATAGTTAGCTTGATATAATATGTGAGCTCTGATGTGTTTCATATCTAAATGAAGAATATTAAAGATATACGAAATATGAGCTTGTGAAAATTAAGCAGCTGTTGTAGGAAAACTGATAATGAGCTAAAATTTGATTGATAAGTACACCGATTGTAAAGAGACACAGCTGTGTTTAACGCATTGGGTCTTATGTAACTGTTAATTTTCAGCTTCCTTTTCTTTGTGGGCTTCCATTTCTGGAACGAAGGGCTTCTGAAGCTGCACATTTGATTGTTGGGAGAACTGGAAAACATCTATTCCTGACAGATAATGATGATGGAAAGCCTCCGCTTCTCCTGCGGATGGTTGATGACTGTGATGATATCAAGTTCCGGTTTGATTGCATCTTTCTTTCTTTTGTGGCTAGTATTCCTTTGCAAGGTTTATGTTGGAAACTTCTGATGAATAGTCATTGCTTTTGACTTGCAGATCAGCTTTGCACGCTTTCAAACGCCGAGTAGCTTATGCCAACGCAAATTTTGATCGTATCCTCTTTGTGTTCATTGTTCTGCTATGTTGTTAGAACAATGTCTCTTTGTTTTAGTTGGTCATTTATCATATCATTGCTTAACTTGTTAAAAAGACATGGTAGGATGGAGAACATCCTCAATTCGGCATCAACGTGAGTTACCAAAGGTACATATATCATCTGATTCACTGATGTTGTGCTCACAATTATTGATTATAGTTTTTATATCTAAACAATCTATCCTCGTTCATCCACCCTTCAGCATCATCTTCTTGTGCATGACGAGAAGTATCCGCACGTTGTTTATGTGGATAAAGGAGAAAGGATAAACAATCATAATGAAGTATCTACAGTAGCAGAAGCTCCAAAAGATGAACTGGAAGGTAAATTCTACATGACATGTATGTGTTCTTTATGTAATTTTTGTTAAATTTCTTATTTTCTCCTTGCATCTAAAAAACATTTATGATGGTTTTTTACTTCTAATTGCTGAACTACATGATAGATATGGTTTATGAATCTTTGTATTCTTTTCTTAATGAGGATAAGTGCCACACTCTGTTGCACGTTGGGAGGATATGTTTCTCGATATTTCTTCTGCTTTTTGATAGTTGTGTATACTGTATAGTTTAAGCATGTAAGTCTAACAAGTTTATCAATTTTTTGCTCCAGATATTGACTTATTTGTCTCTTTCTTTGGCTTGTTTGTGTCTTTGAGATGAATATCACTTTTAATATTGAAGCTTGTAAAATTCCTTTTATTCTATACTCATCTTAGGCCTAGGAGAATTTGAGAAGATGATTCGAGTTTCAGTATCTTAAACATCAACTTATTAAACCATTCAAACTGTGAACTGTCCTTTTAGCTTGTAAGTAGTTCTTTCTCAAATTTGACTTGCCAGACTTGGCACCAAGGATCACATCATGTGACAAACAGCATGAAGCACAATCTTTCACAGCCTGTAAAACAAGTACATTTGATGATATAGAATTTTGAAACTAATGCTGCCATCAACTCGAGTGAGTTCCATGGGGTTCTTAAGCTTATGTCAGGAGACCGATAACTATAAATTCTGTCAAAAGTTCAGTTGCCTGAAAATAACTTTCTTGGATTTTTTATGGAAAATGATAAATTATAAAATGTTGTTTACTCATCTAGGTTTGCATTTGTTTATTATTATTATTATAATATATATATTTTTTGCTTTTGGCACAGAGGAGATGATCAGAGGTCTTAAACAAGTATCTTGGGAGCGTGTTGATGTAAGCTTTCAGAAAAGCAGACAGAGATATATAGCACACAATACAATCCAGGCAAGAATTCTAAAAATAGTTTGTTGCGATTGGCTTTCTAATCTTAATAGCATTAATCACAAGAGTTCCTGAATCAAGAGCTTGCATTATGAACTCATCTATTAGTTTAAGTTACTGTTATATGATTTATATGAATAACATTGATTTCTCCGATATTAAATGTATTATGTAATTGAATTTAACTTTGTCTTCCTGCCTTTGATCGTGCACCTATAATTTTGCCTTCTTACACCATGGGCGTCGAACTCTTATGTGTCCATGTTGCAGTCATTGCAGTGGATAATTGTGAACCATTTTTAAAGAATTAACACCAGTCTTCATCATGGGGATTGCATCACATCATTTTATCAGGCTTGGAAATTTGAGTTCATAAGTTATTCTCTATCATCTTGCTCTGCTTTAGCAAAGCCATTGTCAGTGCATCACAATCCTTTTATGAAAAATTTTCCCTTCTTCTTCTAGATGAAAGATAGCATCTGAAATGTCTTAGATCACTGTGATTTCAGTATGACATGCTCCTTTATCCAGGTTTCTTAATTCTACATCTGGCTTTCATCTCAAACAAACAAGATCGCTTATCAGCTTCTTAGAAACAGATGCTTTTGGTTTCACCTTTCAAAGTAATTGTAGACTTTAGTATTTTTGATAAATTTCCTTCTTTGAACATTCATTTAAAGGTTTCTACAAGGTAAGTGTTCCTCTGGCTTGAATGCACCTCTGCTAGTTTGCTATCATAATATGAGTTCTTGGCTCATGCCACCATACTTTTCTTTTCTATTATGCTGTTGTTTTTATTTCCCTTTGGATAAGAATGCATCATTTACATATTGTAATAGATACTCAGCATCCTGTCCCTCATTGTTCATTATTGATTTTCTTATCTACTATAATAAATCCAGGTCAAGAGCTACTGGTTGAACTCTGACGGTGAAGACGTGATCTTCCATATGATAGATAACTTCCTCGTCTAGCCCTTCCAACAGTTTTGATGGTCTTCACTTTGCAGCATCACCAATCTTACACACTCTGTTTTATTATGATCAACTGTCTATCTGTAGCTGTATTCAATTGTATTACTACCACTCCATTGTAAAAACTCGTCTATTGTTTCCTGATGCATTTCCAAGTTTACTTTGTTGTTAATCGCATCAAATCCTTCTCACGAAAGCAAAGTTTTCTTTGTTTGGTGCAGGTGAAAACAGAAAATCTTGTTGTTTAGGTGCAAAGTCTTTTTTTCTTTTATTGATGCGCATATCAAGATAACTAGCAATGAGATGTTTTAGATTTTAGGCTTAAATATTCATAAATGTGACACAGGCAGGAGATTATATGCTTGATAAGATGACATAGCATGTACATGCTGTAGATCTATTTTCACCATTAGATAATGTCTCTCTCATTCCCTCCCCACCTCATATTCCTTTTTGATCTTGGTGCAGGCATCGCTGTGTTTTGTTATGCTATGCTTAATTTTTAATAGACAGCATAACTTGATTGTTGCTTCCTACTATTTCTTTATGTGGCTTTATTCTATCCAGCAGCTTGAATGATGATGCATCCATCCAAGCAATTAGGAAGAACTGCACTTTGATTGGCTCATTCAAATTTCTTGCTTTTTGATAAGATCATTTAATTTCTTCCAGCATTGACATTTTCATGTTCTCTATGGTTTATCAAAATAAAATCTACACTTTTTATATAGAACATGGCAGGTTTTTGTTTGGATAAACTTGTAGGATTATAAGTTTGTAGATGTTATCATTAATTTTACTTTCCAAATTCGATTTCTCTGACATCTTATTTGCCCAATAAGAATCATATGTTTACCTCTTCAAACAGTTAGGACTTGGGATTGATTGGCGGCCACGACCAACCCTGCCAATAACAAGGCACCTTTTACGTTGCCGGCTGTGACGCTCTAAACTCTTCATCTGTCGTCGATCTAATCCCAAGTTGTATCATGGGCGGGAAGATGATGCCGTTGAGGAGGTCTTGGTGGTCGTGATGAACGGGTGCTGGAGGAGGGACACTTCTGGAGGCAGCAGGAGATGAAGTTTCGGAACTCACCGGAGGGGGTGGGCGGCGCCTCCGGCCGATCGGCGTAGCAGATGGCGCACATGAGCAATGCTCAGTCGACACGCCGACCGAGGTTCTCGCCGAACGGGAAGCTGCCGAGCTACAACTCCCAGGATAGGATTCTGAGGCCGAAGCTCCAGATGTTGCCGGCGTAGCCGTCGTAGGTCTTGTGGTTGAGGTCGGTGTCGATCCGCTCGGGGCTCATTCAGGCGATGGTACCGACGGAGGAGTCGCAGGGGTCCATTGTCTGTGAAGTCGGCGATCTTGACCCGGCGGCCGGAGTCGATGAGGAGGCTGGTAGGTTTGATGTCGCGGTGGGCACTCTTCGATGGAGGTAGGCCGGGCGAGGACCTGGCGGGCGGTGCCGGCCATCGAGGAAGCCGCGGTCCATGAACTCGAGCAGGATCTGGATCCTGCATGGCGTGGCACCGGACCACGAAGTGGTTGCCCGACCGGCAGTGTTGAGGATCTGGATCTCTCGCAGGATCCAGCGGCGGACGGTAGATGATCTTAAGGGCGTAGCGGCGGCCGGTAGATATGATGTTCTTAAATTGTGATAAAGAGATATGGAAGAGAAGGAAGGGATGATCGAGAGAGTTATATACATACATATTAAGCTCAAAATCACTGTTTATGAACACAACAAGTTCATCAAGGTAGGAGAAAGAACTGATAACATCTGCAAGCTCTGAGACCACTACAGTCAATCATTACATGAAGAACAAACCCTGCAGGCTCAATAGACCGGAGGAAGACACACAAGGAAAAGACATCAACCTTCCATGTCTTGGCTTTGATCCTTAGTCTGGGCTGCTTTTCCGGTCGGTCCTCTTACTCCCCTCAACCTTCTCCTCCTCCCCCTCCTCCTCATCATCATCCTTCTTGCAGCTCCAATCCACAAAGGAGGACGCCCGGCTCGACGTCGGGGCCGCCAGGAACGTCGGCTTCTCATCCCCCGCCATGACCACCACGATCACCTCCTCACACAACCCCACGCCACCGCCTGCGGCAGCGCCGCTGCTGGCACCGGCGTCGCGGCTCTCTAGGCGGTCATAGAACTTCGAGCAGAAGCAAGCGAGAACAAGGAGGGCGCAGGCGGTGAGCCCCAGCGTCGCCGCCACGCCAGCGAAGAGGTACGGCACCGGCGAGTGGTGGCCACCCGTGTACACCGGCGCCGCCGCTGCCGTTGCCGTTGCGTTGAAACCCGACCCGGCCCTCATTTTGAGTCTACGCAATCTTCCTCGAGCACACCTCGCTTCTTTCTCTGCTGCTTCCTTGTACAAGAAGAGACAGTGACGGGTGGTTCAGTTCACAGGTAGTCGGAAGAGGAAGGGACAAGACGAGTCGGTACTTATACGCTAAGGGTAAACCTGAAATCTATAGACACTGTCGATGGTAAATAGTCTTGAGAGGCAAAGTGAGATGTCATTGACTGATGGGTGAGAAGAGAGAGAGAGAGAGAGAGAGAGAGAGAGATGTCTCAAGAGGCAAAGTGAGATGTCATTGACTGATGGGTGAGAAGAGAGAGAGAGAGAGAGAGAGAGAATATTTGTGGTTTTGTTGTGGTTGAAGGAAGGGATGTGGTCATCATGTTGACAAGGTGACAACATGTGTTTTGGAGGGGTCCCAAATGACCAAGAAATATTGAAGACATGATGATGCTTGATTGGAGATCAATTGCTAACTTTGAGACCATATTTTTCAGCAAAATTACATAAATATTGACCAAAGATTTTAGTGTTTATTCATCCAAATTTAAGTTACATACATATAAAAAATAAGATGTCAAATATAGAGAGAGGTACAGAGACAATAGACTATCTCAAGCACTTGTTTTCATGATTAAAGGCAGTATGGTGGACTAATGCAAGTTTCCATAGTGTGATTTCAGCTCCATACATGACAGCATTGTAGAAAATTACAGAACATGTAATTTGATAAAGATTGGTTTAAGCATTTGTTTAGCTCTCAGAAGTTTGAGGCCATCTGAATAGCTTTTAGACATGCATTTATCTTTGCATAGTGTCGAAAGATTTCACAACTCCCAGCTGAAGTATCTTTCAGATATGATATCTTCATGAACAAGATCAAATCATGAGAGTGAAATTAAGGAATTTTCTGTCTTGGCTTTAAGGAACACTTGATTCTCTCTCTCTCTC